TTGAAGGTCAGATAAAGATTTCACAGATAAGAAAAAGCTAAAGGAGTTCATCACCACTAAACTAGTATTATATGAAATGCTGAAAGGTATCCTTTAAGAAGAGGAAGAAGAAAAAGGTAAAGATACTAATTATGAACAACAAATACACATCTATCAACAAGTGAATCTAAAAATCAAGTGAATAAATAATCTGATGAACAGAATAAACTGGTGAATATTATAGAATCAGGGGCATAGAAAGGGAGTGGACTGACTGTTCTTGGGAGGAAAGGGGTGTGGAGGTGCGGGAAGAGACTGGACAGAAAACTTACCCCTATGGATGAGCACATTGGGGGAACAGGTAAGGGCAGAGGGTGAGGTGGGAACTGGGTGGAAGGGAGCTATGGGGGGAAAAGAGGAACAACTGTAATAATCTGAACAATAAAGATATTTTAAAAAAATAAAATAAAGTGGAAAAAATAGGACACACAAAAAAAGAGAGAAATGCAGCCGGGCTCCAGCTGTGGTGTCAGATTCCCCACTTTTAGGTTAGCACAGCCTCTCACTGCTTCTCTCCCTCCTGTTGTCTGTGTTTTCATTCTTTCTGTTCATAACGAGTTGTTAACACGGAGTAAGAAGAGGAAGCTGCATTTGCTCCTTTGGGTTCGTGTGGGCCTGTCTGGGAAAAGATTTGGTGGAGGAGAGATTTTGAATTAAGAATTAAAAGAAAACTTATGTGACCTGCTGCTGGCAATGCTTCATGCTGCCCCTGCTTGGGTACCCAGAGAAACAGGCTGGTTGTAGCCAGAATTCATGAACTCACCCTGTGTGGGCATCAAGGGTGTCTGACTGGAGGGTGCTGCTGGCAGCTATTGTAATACTTGCAGTAGATGCAGAGGCTACCTCCGTACTGATTTATACTGGCCTCATAGGGGTGTATGAAATAAAGCCGTTTCTCCACTTCAGGACATGGATTTGAAATGCAAGCCACATGCTCCTCCCAGATTTAACGCTCTCTGACCCCCTTTGCTCTGCAGTCCAATGGCACTCACATCATGTACAAGAACACAATCTGGATAGAAAGCGCCAACAACACGGGCAACATCATCACCAGGGACCGGACCATCAACGTGGAGTTCTCGTGTGCTTATGAGCTGGACATCAAGATCTCCTTGGACTCGGTGGTGAAGCCCATGCTGAGGTGAGGCTGCAGCCGGCGGGTAAGGGAGCGCCATCGTGCCAGCCAGCTCTGAGCTCTGAAGCATGAGGAAGAACAGTCCCTATTTCCATATCTGCCTTCCTGCCTGAGAGTGGCACCACCCAGTGAAACTTCCCAACTTCCAGATGGGCATGCTGATGGTAATTTACGATGATTTCGTGGCCACACGTGGCTGGAGGGGACCGTATGGACAGTGCAGCCTTGGACCCCACTGCTGCCTGCATTGCCTCCCTCTTCATGTTCAGCTCGAAGTGGCAGATAACTGAGTAACATAACTGCCTCGTGGTCTTTCTCCCTTTCAGTGTCATTAACCTGACCGTTCCAACCCAAGAGGGCAGCTTCACCACCAAGATGGCGCTCTACAAAAACGCCTCCTACAAGCACCCGTACCGCCAGGGCGAGGTGGTGCTGACCACGCGAGACGTGCTGTACGTCGGGGTCTTTGTGGTCGGAGCTGATGCCACCCATTTGATCCTGACGCTGAACAAGTGCTATGCCACACCCTCACGCGACAGCAATGACAAGCTCCGATACTTCATCATTGAAGAAGGGTGCGTAGCCTCTCACCAGGCACAGCCTCGGGGCCTTCACTGTAACATTAGTCTACACCACATTTTATTTTTTTAAATTCTTTATTGTTGAAAGTACCACAGATGTCCCCCTTTTCTTCCATTGACCTCTCCCAGCCTGCCCCCACCCCCAGCCCAGGCCTTCACCCCCTATTGTCTGTGACCGTTCATTATGCTTATATGCATGCAAGTCCTTTGGTTGATCTCTTAATCACCAGCAGCCCTCCCTGCCTTCCCGCTGAGGTTGGATGGCCTGTTCCATGCTTCTATGTCTCTGGACCTATTTTTGTTCATCAGTTTATGTTGTTCATTAGATTCCACAAATGAATGAGATCATGTGATACTTACTTTTTGCAACTGGCTTATTTCACTTAGCATAATGCTCTCCACGTCCATCCATGCTGCTGCGAATGGTAAGAATTCCTTCTTTTTTACAGCAGCATAGCATTCCACTGAGCCTACGCCATAGTTTAGAGAAGGGATAGGAACTAATGCTTGTTGACTTCCTACAAGGCCAGCATTTTGCATCCATGAACTATCAGATTCTCACAATAACCTGGAAGGTAGATGTGAGAACCCTCATTTTATGAATGAGATGGCTCAAGCTTAGTGAGAGCAAGCAAATTGCTCAAAGTCACATGGCAGTTTGCTGGTAGATCCCCAAGTCCACATGGCATTAACTACAAATATATTCTCCATGTGATCAGAGGGTCTGTCCTTACTACTTTAAATTTTAGTTTGAAATAAATGTGAATTATATGAAAATGAAAGAATGTAAAGAGAATAACTGAAAGTTACTAGGACATCTATTAAAATGTAAAAAGAATTAGAATAATAGCCTATAAAATCAAAGAGTTTCTTTTTACTCACCACTATATGCCCAGCACCTAATATATTTTCTGAAATATAATGGTTATGAAGCAAAATTTTATTGAATGAATGAAAAAACGAAGACTATGGATCCAACAACAATAATGATAATTATCTTAATTTTTAAAAACACTGGTTGTGTCAAGCAGTAATTCTTTTTTAATAGCTTGATTGCATATGTAATTTGTATGCACTAAAATGCATTTGCTTTAAGTGTAACAGTCAATGATGCTTGTAACCTTACAAGAGGAGTATGAGCACCACCATGAACTAGTTAGAACATTTCCATCCCCTACTACAATCCTCCTTAAAGCAGGTGACTTATTAATCCAACTTCTTTTTCTATTAGATGTAGGAGAGACCAATTCCAAGTAGCTTATGCAAAAAATAAATAAATAAATAAATAAAGCATTTAATCATCACAAAACCAATTCCAGCCATGGAAGTGGCTTCAGGGACGATTGGACCGGGGCAGATGCTGCCACACCCTCCCCCTCGCTCTGTCCCTTGGCTCTGTCCGTCTCTGTCTCCCCTGCCAGACACTGGCCGCCCTAGACTCGCATTCCCACAGCAGCACCCGAGCCCCGCTCCCCGGCTCCCGGGAGAGCATGGGGAGCCTTTCCGGGACCACGCTTCTCCTGTGTCTGCAGGGATGCAGCATGACGTCACCTGGTGGGTCTAAAACAAAGACAAATTAGCAGAAAAAGGTTTCATAATGTATTTAATACAAGTTTTATGTGACACAGGAGCCTTCAGTATGGGAATGAAGACCCACAGCAGTGGTCGGATCTGAGTGCTGTATGCTGGGCTGGAGGGACAGGCAGAGAGCAGGGACCGGCCAGGCATGAAGTGACTGTAGTGTCATCTGCTCAGCTTCTCCTCCGAGTCCCTTTTGTCTTAAGAGATAAGAATGGTCCTTTCCTTGGGGCATCAGGGGGCACCTCTCCCATGAAGGTTTTATGACTTGTTTCAGGTGGAAAGGGTCAGGGAGAAAGTCAGGGTGACCTTCCTGCTTCTGCCATTTTCTCAGACTCACTCACCTTCAAGGATTCCGTATGCCAAGGTGCCGGCTTCGGGGGAGCACCATGGGGGACGGGGTGTGTGTGCATCAGCTTTAAGGTTGGGAATGGTTCATCAACAGAAGGGTGTGGTCTGGGCAAACAAACAATAAGCCACAGCTTTGCAGATGCAACAGGCTCAGAGGAGGAAGGTACACAGCCAACCCCGCTGGCTGGGCGTGGCCGTGGCTGGGCCCGCAGGAGTGATGTGGAAGTTTCAGGAAAGATCTCACCGAGGCACTTGACTTTCTGAATTGGTTTCCAGCTTCTTCTAGGCAAAGGGAAGGACTTGGTACCCAGTTGGTGTCCTGCAGGCCGAGATGCCCGGGCTAGTGTCACTGTTCTCCCTTCCTCCTCGTCTCCCCCTCCCTGTCATGGTCCTTCCCATAAGAAAAGGCTAAGATCTGAGCCACGACCAAATGCAGATCCAGGTGATGTGGCTTGTGCCTCGTCTGAAGGTCGCTGTGGCACTGAGCATTTTTTAAAGGGAGATAACAGACTTGACCCCAACAGGGGGTGTGGGCAAGTGAGTGTGTTCCTAAACCTCAGCTTCCCTGGGGTCTCCATGAAGGCCTTGGACTTGAACTGTGACTGGGTGTACAGGGATTCTGCCACGTGGGAGAGTTTTAGTTCAGGAGTCCCCTGACCTTGGTTAGCGGTGTGTGTCTCCAGCGAACTTGTATTAAGCGTGATGCTCAGGGCTGAGTGAATGAGCAGCAAAATGGGCTCATAAGAATTCTGAGGAGTCCTAGTTCCTTCCAGCTGGTAGAGTGCAGGGAGGGCGCCAGTGTCCATCCGTGATTCGGAAAGTAGCCTGGGGACATGCAAGTCGCTCCCCCTCCTCTCCGGGTGCCGAGGCGGGGGACTTTCTCCACGGGGTGGACAGAGAATTCTAGAGCTTGACTGCTCACACGCAGGCAGCACACAAACAGCCCAGCTCTGCTCCCCTGGGCCCCTTCCTTCTGTTCCATGTTCTTCTGAGACCAAAACCTAAGTGATCTCTCGTAGCTGGGGGTCTGGTTAAGCGGGAGGGGCTTGCATATCAGGGCTATGACTATTAACTTAGATTATTCACATAGTAACAATGACAAGAAACAGTCTAGCAAGTTTTTGTTTCAGCTCATTTAAGAAACTACTGCCTTGAAGCCTGAGCACAAAACTGAATAGGTATAGGGATGGTGAAGGACTGTTTTCATTTATAATTCTCCTACTGAGTTAGTTAATTCTGGGTGCTGTGGGAAGGCAACTAAGGAAAGAGTCCCCCTTGTATCTTTATCATAAGTAAAGAACCTCTTAGCTCCAATGAGCCGCCCTGGGCCACACAGCACAATGCATCACTTCAATTCCTGCGTCCAGCACAGACTCGCATGCCCCACGTGTGAGGGAGGCACCCTGGGGAGCATGGCTTGATTCTTGCACTCCAGGGGCTCAGCAGCGCTACTGGCCAACCAGGAGCAGCCCCTTGTTCCTGCCTGGCCGCTGGGGGAGGGAACATTTACAAAGGAGGGAGGCCTACGCTGGTGTGGGAGGAAGAGCAGGAGCTGAGCGGGATGAACTGCAGAGACTCCCAGGTGGGGAGACATGACGTGAGAAGCCCCAGGGCATGAGATTGAACATTTGGGGAACTCTAAGTCCTGGAGGCAAGATCTGCGGGCCTGAGGGCTGTCAGTGCCACGGAGGAGAGAAGAGGCTGCCTGCCCCCGAGCAGTGCTCCCGCTCATCCCTGACGGCTTTATCTCAGCTGCTGTCTCCATATGGGAAGAACTCCCAACAGGGTTGAATCAGGGGCTCCTCCCAAAATGGATGGTGAAGAACATACAGAAGTAACCTTGAGTTTGTTAGCCTGACAGCATAGCCCACAGCAGCATGAGGGAGCAGCATAAGAAGCTGAAACGTAGGGAAACTGAGTTCCATCCCCACAGTCATTCTGTTTTTAGATGCAGTTAGGGTCCTAATTGGAGGTGCTATTTGATGTTTTTAAAACAAACGATGTAAATATGAGGACGTAGTCATACATGCCAAACCCACACAATCCAGAGGTCACTTTCACATGCAAAGGCATTTTTACCATTTACAATGGTTTTGTAGAAACCCTATATAATAAAAGGGTAACATGCAAATAGACCGAACAGCAGAACAACTGAGCAACCAATCAAAGCATAGTATGCTAATGATATGCTAAGGCTGCTCAACCGCTTACTATGATGTGCACTGACCACCAGGGAGCAGACAGTCAACTGGTTGACCAGTTGCTATGATGTGCACTGACCACCAGGGGACAGATGCTCTGACTGGTAGGTTAGCTTGCTGCTGGGGTCCAGCCAATCGGGATTGAGCAAGATGGGCCAGATATGCCCTTGAACCCTCCTGCGGTCCCTACCTGGCCCAATTGTGCAGTGGTGGGGTTCCTCAGCTGGGCCTGTGCCCTCTTGCAATCTGGGACCCCTTGGGGGATGTCAGAGAACAGGTTTCAGCCCAATCCCGCAGGCCACTCCCCTTGGGAGAGCGCCAGACACAGGGCTCCTGGCTAGTGAGTGCTCCTGTGGCAGTTCGAGCCTCTCCTGATCAGGACTGATTGGGCGGGAGCCCACGGCAGGCACAGTGGGGCCAGGATGAGTGGGAGCAGCAGGTGGCATTGGACTGCAGGTTTTGGCCCAATCCCTGCAGGCCACCCAGAGGGACCCCACCCATGCATTAATTTGTGCATCAGGCCTCTAGTATGAAAATAAGAAGCAAAGGTATTATTTTTTCTGAATAGGTGTCAGAACATTAAAGACAACACCATTGGCATCGAGGAGAACGGGGTCTCCCTCACCTGCCGCTTTCACGTCACAGTCTTCAAGTTCATCGGGGATTACGATGAAGTCCATCTTCACTGCGCAGTGTCACTCTGCGATTCGGAGAAGTACTCCTGCAAAATAGTGAGTGAATCTCGCTGCCCCGTCTCCCAACATGGGTCACACGTGCCAGGGTTTATGTGATTCCTCAGGGTCCTTCAGGTCTCACGGCCCCTGGAAGTCCTTGGGGGCTTGCAAGCGGCAGTCGCCTCTGGGGAGACAGTGAGAGAGAGGACACAGCGGAACAGTGCCACTGACCCCTCTGTCTCCACAGTGTCCACTGTCCAGTGTGACACCAGGTTAGGGTCTCCCAAACCCGGCACTGCTGACATTTGGACCAAATCATTCTTTGGTGGAGACTGTTCTGTGCATCGTTGGACATTTATCAGCTTCCCTGACCTCTACCCCCAGATGCCTGTAGCTCCTCCAGCTCAAACATCCCAGAATGTCTCCTAACATTGCCAGTTGGCCCCTGGGGGCAAAGGCAGCCCATTTAAGAACACCTACATCAGAGTCTCAAGGAGCCAGGTCACCCGAATCTGAGGTAAACACTGGGGATTGCCCTGTAGCTCATCCAGAGCCATGCCAGGGCCTGAGGGTCTGGAAGGGCAAGGGGGGATGAGTTGACAAGCCGATCCTCTCTTCCATGCCAGGTGTACTTCCCACCATGTATGGCTAATGTCACTAAGATTTTATTGCACTGGTCCCTAACCTTTAACACTCCAGCTTTCTGCTTACCCCATATTTACAAAATTGAGATGTGAATTATAGTCAGAGCTTCTTCCACGTGCTGCTGCATAATTAGTGTCTGATGAGATACAGCACTCCTCATTCCCAGGAATGCATCTAATTCTAGTGCTGAGAATACATTTAAGTCTCTTCAACAGAGAGCCTAAAGTCCGGGGGCTCTGTGATCGAGAAGGCATTGGGCACGTTAATCTGAACAGTGATGGTGCTCGGAGCAACCACTGCCTCGGGAGGTGGAAACATGGTGGAAAAGAGATACGACCCTGATCATGTAAAATTTCCCCTGTTGTTCTGTCTTTCAGAATTGCCCACAAAATTCCAGGATTGCCACAGAATATACCAAAGAACCTAAAGAACAGATCATATCAGTGGGACCCATTAGGAGAAAAAGTATGTATGTTTCCTAAAACACACTATAAATCATTAAAACAAGGGGAGGGGAAGGCCTGAGGCAACTCTTGTTTGTGCGTCACCTGTAATGTGAATCTAATGAATGAGGAGCTGAACATATTGCCCACTTCATGATGATACCCTTTCCTTGACTATTAAAAATTCACAATCACACTGGGCTTTTCCTTTTCCTCCCCTCTCTTTTAAGCAGGGGTGGGGAACATCTGGCCTGTGGGCCTTCAAATCATTTGGTCTGGCCCTGCCAATGCATTGTGGGTCAGTTGATTAAATGTTTGACCAAATATAACAGGCTGAATTTTAAGTTGATAATTTTATATGGGATTCAAAAATGCCAACAGAATAAGTGGGAGGTACACTGACACTCTCCCAGGAACAAACTGGAAATACAACTAAAGTTATAGAAAAACCACCCTGAAAAATCAGCTGAAGACTAGCTGGAAAGAACCCTAATAACTAAGGACGCAAAGAGGAGACCACATGGAGTCTAGTAGGAAGGGCAGAGGCTCAAAAGGGCTGGCTAGCCTCCTTCAGACACCAGCTAAAGTTCCAGAGGGATATCTCAGCTGTGGGGTTCCCACTGAGAACTCTGGGGTCTAAACCCCCGGCTAGGCACCCCAGCCCACAGCATCAGAAGTGATAACTGTGTCCACATAACATTAGGCTGTGAAAAGCAGCAGCATTGCTGTCTGCCTGAGAGAGACAGCTGGAAATGCAGGCACCCTCTTAAAGAGCCAATGCACAAAATTTCATGTGCAGCTACTCATGTTGGGCTCCAGCAGAGGTAGCGCAAAGTAGACTAAAGCTGAGTGAGGAGAGTCTAGGGTTGGGGAGTCTGGGGTTGGAGCTCGGAGGGCAACCAACCGAGTTCCCTGTGCTGAGTTTTCTTGCACCCTGTGAAGGACATCTTTCTCTGGTGGACCTTTGCTATCTAGGCGGTTTTGGCCTGGGGAAAAGGCAATTCCCCACCCTGCTGGAAGACCTCTCACCCCACTCCATGGTCAATAGCCTAATACTAATTAAGACTGGACGGCAGGCAGAGGCAGATCCCTAGAAGCTTTAAGTCTTTGCCTAATCTCCTTCTTGGCCCAGGGCTAGGAAAAACACATCTTGGCCATTTCCAAAGGCACCCAGCCCCAGCAGAGGGAGCCACAAGCTGTGGATTGGTGATAGCTCCAAATAGGGTACTCAGGACCAGTCACAAATAGTGTCTGACGTTGTCCTGCACTAGATATTGGGAGTAGAAGCAGATCTATCTAATACATAGACACAAACCCAAACAGGCAGCCAAAATGGGAAGATAAAAAATCAAGCCCCAAGTGAAAAAATAGGAGAATTCTCTGGAAAAAGAGCTAAATGGAATTGAGAGAAGAAATTTATCAGATATAGAGTTCAGAATAATGATGGCAAGGAAACTCAACAGCATGAGAAATGATATAATAACTATGAAAAAGATCAGTTGGGAATAAAGATTGACATAGCACTAATAAAGAAAAAATTGGAAGGAATATACAACAGATTAAGGGAAGCCAAGGATAAATAAGTGAATTAGAAGACAAGATAGAAAAAAATCACTCAATCAGAGAAGCAAACAAACAAACAAAACAATTAAAATACATGAGCAAAGCTTAAGGGAGCTGTGGGACAACATGAAACAACAATATTTCCATCATAGGAGTGACAGCAGGGGAAGAAATGAGCAAGGCATAGAGAACATGTTTGAAGAAATAATGGCAAAAAACTTCCCTAACTTGGTAAAGGGAAATGTCACAAAAGTTCAGGAGGCACAGAGAGTCCCATGCAAGAACGCTTCCAGCAGGGTGGGGAATTGCCTTTTCCCCAGGCCAAAACCGCCTAGATAGCAAAGGTCCACCAGAGACATCACCCAGACACATCATAATTAAAATGCCAAAAACTAAAGACAAAGAGTGACTCTTAAAGGCAGCAAGAGAAAAGCAATTTGTTACCTACAAAGGAGCGCCCATAGGATGTCAGCTAATTTCTCATCAGAAATTCCACAGGCCAGAAGGAATGGCATGAAGTATTCAAGGTAATGAAAAGCAAGGATCTGGAACCAAGATTACTATATCCAGCAAGGTTATCATTCAAAATAGACAGTGAAATAAAGAGCTTCCCAGACCATTAAAAAAAAACAGGCTAAAGGAGTTATCACCACCAAATTAGCAATGCAAGAAATGCTAAAAGAACTTCTGTAATGGGAAAGAGAGAGAGAGAGAGAGAAAGAGAGAGAGAGAGAGAGAGAGAGAGAGATAAAGAATGAAAATGGCTATAAGTAAGTACCTATCAATAATAACCTTAAATGTAAATGGATTGAATGCTCGAATCAAAAGACACAGAGTAGCTGAATGTATATAAAAATATGACCCAATTATATGCTGTCTACAAGAGACCCATCTCAGAACAAAAGACTCACACAGGATGGAAGGGATGGAAAAAAAATTTCCATGGAAATGGAAACAAAATAAAAGGTGGGATAGCAATACTCATATCTAATAAAAAAGACTTCAAAATCAAGGCCATCACAAGAGACAAATAAAGTCACTACATAATACTAAAGGGATCAATCCAACAAGAGGATAGAACCCTAGTAAACATATATGCCCTCAATATAGGAGCACCTAAATATATTTTTTAAAAATCTAGAGAACTTTTAAAAAGAAGTCAACAGCAATACAGTTATTATAAGGGACTATAACACCCTGCTGACTTCACTGGATAGATCTTCCTGACAAAAAATTAACAAGAAAACAGAGTCTAAATGATATACTAGATCAGATAGATTTAATTGACATTTATAGAACATTATACCCCAAAGCTTCAGTATATACATTCTCAAATGCACATGGGTCACTCTCAAAGATAGACCACATGTTAGGACACAAAACAAGTCTCTACAAGTTCAAGAAGATTAAAATCATATCAAACATCTTCTCAGATCACATTGGAATGAAATTATAAATCAACTACAGTAAAAAACACCCCCAAACATTCAAACACATGGAAGCTAAATAGCATGTTATTAAACAATGAATGGGTTGCCAATGAGATCAGCAAAGAAATAAAAAACTTTCTGGGAACACACAACAAACAAAAACCTCTGAGACACAGAAAAAGCAGTCCTGAGAGGGAAGTTCATAAGGAAATAGTAAATATTAGAGCAGAAATAAATGACATAGAGACTAAAAAAAATACAAAAATATCAATGAAACCAAGAGCTGGCTCTTTGAAAAGATAAACAAGATTGGTGGACATTAGCCAGACTCATCAAGAAACAAAGAGAGAGGACCCAAATAAATAAAATCAGAAACAAAAGAGTGAAGTAATAACCGACACCACAGAAATACTAGTTGTAAGAAAATACTATTTACAGCTATATGCCAACAAGCTAGACAATGTGGATGAAATGGTCAAATTCCTAGAAAAATACAATATCCCAAAACTAAATCAGGAAGAATCAGAAAACCCGAAAAGGCCCATAACAACTGATTACATTGAAGCAAAAAAATAATAATAATAATTAAAAATCTTTTAAAAAGCCCTGGTCCAGATGGCTTCACAGGGGAGTTTTACAAAAAAAAATTCAAATGAGAACTAACACCTATATTCATCAAACTACTCCAAAGCATCCAAAAGGAAGGAACACTTCTAACCTCTTTTTATGACGCTAGCATCATCCTGAATTTTAGACCAGATAAAGACACAACAAAGAAAGAGAATTATAGGCTAATATCCCTGATGAACATAGATGCTAAACTCCTCAACAAAATATTAGCAAATTGAATCCAAAAGTATATAAAAATGATCATACACCATGACCAAGTGGGATTAGTTCCAGGGATACAAGGCTGGTACTGTATTTACAAAACAATAAATGTGATTCATCAAATACACAAATTGAAAGACAGAAATCACATGATCATATCAACTGACACAGAAAAAGAATTTGACAAAATCCAACACCCATTTTTGATAAAAACTCTCAGCAAAGTAGGAATAGAGGTAGCATATCTCAACATGAGAAAGGCCATATATGACAAATCTACAGCCAACATCATACTTAATGGGCCAAAACTAAAACCATCTCTCCTGGTTAAGAACAGGAACAAGACAAGGATGTCCACTTTCACCACTCTTTGCCTGATCTCCTTCTTGGCCCATTTTTTTTAGTGGAATTGAAGTGTGTTTTTTTTAGAGAAGCCAGTCCAGGAAAAGGTGCAGCTGGGGTTCCAGGAGCAGGCCAGTGTCCAGAGCTTCCTTTCCACATTACTGTCAGAGTAGTTCAGCACCCCAGCTAATTAAAGTCTATTGGTCCACGTGTGGAGGCCCATATGGCCATAAGCCACGTGAGTAATGGGGAGCGCATCTCCTGCCATCAACCCCAAAGTCTAGCACACCAAGAAAGAGACCGCTTTCACCACTCTTATTCAACACAGCACTGGAAGTCCTAGCCACAGTGATCAAACAGGACTCTAGCCACTGAGCCAAACCAGCTAGCACTCGATGGCATTTTTATACACCAATAATGAATTCTCAGAAAGTGAAACTGAACAAACAACCCATTTTACCACTGCAACAAAAAAATTAAGATATTTGAGAATACACTTAACAAGAAAGTAAAAGACTTATACTCAGAAATCTACATGACATTGAAAAAAGATAGAAGAAGATGTATGCAAGTGGAAGAATATACCATGTTTATGGATTGGTAGAATTAACATCATTAAAATGTCTGTATTACCCAAAGCAACCTACGGATTCAGTGCAATCCCTATTAAAATACCAAAGGCATATTAAAAAGATCTAGAACAAACACAACAAAAATTTATATGGAACTAAAAAAGACCCCACGTAACCACAGCAATCTTGAGAAAGAAGAACAAAGTTGGAAGAATCACAATACCAGATATCAAGTTATACTCAAAACAGCCTGCTAATAGCACAAGAACAGGCATATAGTTTGATGGAACAGAACGGAGACCCCAGAAATCGACCCAAGTTTAAGTCAGTTAATATTTGACAAAGTAGATAAGTGCATAT